AACTCTAAAAAACAAGTAAATGCCCCAAGAGATTGCCAAAGCAGGTACCTTGGCCGTGTGCAAACAGAAAATAATGAACACAGACTGTTTAGGCCCTTCCTGCTTTTTCCTGTCCTTCCACCCCTCCTTCCTCCTTTATCCTCATTCCCAATCCTACCCCATTTCTGACTGTGACCCCCAGACCTCAAGGCTCAGCACCATGAGGGAATCGTAAAATGGTGGATTCAAAGAGATGCGTCCAGGCAAGTGTTGAACAAACTTCATTAACTGATTTTCTGATTTGAGGGTAAACAGTGAATGTTACTTTTCTTTTTTTAACGTTAAGGATGACTGAGAAAAATACCCAGTCTAGAAACTGTAACTTTTATCCCATAAATATTCCCCTGGTTTCCCAAATTCAAGCAAGCTTACGATAGACATTTTCCTGGTGAGCTGGTGGTGGAATGCAGGCTCCGAAATAAAAGAACACAAGTCTGTAAACACAATAACACAACCATTGCTCACAGTGTTTCCTTGTGTGGAGATATTTCTGGCTCCTTCCTGAGAGAAACGATTAACTCATTTAGTGGATCATCAAGGAGGGTCTCGGCACTGCTATCCACTCATTATACGTGGAAGGGTTCTGGAAGGGTTCTGGAAGGCTCTGGAATGTGCTGAAAGAATTATTCTTGGTGAGGATTTTATTGAAGTTTCCAAGAGAGTATTCATTGTAGACAGATCAACTTGTCCTGGTTTGCCTAGGACTGTCCTGGTTTCAAATTGAAAGTCTTGCATCCCTGGAACCCCTCAGTCCCGGGCAAACTGGGACCGTTGGTCACCCTGTTTGATTGGCACAACCTCAGGTAGACACTGAGAACAGAAAGCTCCATGTTTTTCTCAGCTCCTTACTCTTTCTGACAGTCTCAGTCTCATGGTGACCTTCTTCTGATGCTTTTCCCATGTCAGGTTACACAAGGTCCCCTTGCCTCTCAGGGCCTTCTCTGTGTCACACCTTCCCCACCAATGGAGGTCCCCAGGGTCCCATTGCTGGGGGGCCTCGGTACCTGCCCCCCCCTTTGTTAGAGCCTCCTCTGTGACCTCCTCATGGTGGTTCCCCACTGCTACACACACTTGTCCACACACACACTCACACACACACACAGCTGTATCCCCACTGACAGTGATTCTCACCACACAGCTCCTCCTGCTTCCTCTGAGGTCAAAGGCCACCCCAGCGCTTGACCCCACCCTGCGCTTCGGACTCAGGGCACCCGCTCCTGGTCCTGGCTTGCTTGGGAGTCAGTACAGAGAAGCTGTAACCCTTCTTTCCTCACTAAAGAGGACCTCTTTTAAGTGCAGGGACTGTGCTCCTCATCTGTGCCCCCACCCAAAAGCCTAGCAGAGTACCTGGCCGATTCACAGCTCAGTGTGTGTCTGCTGAATTGAATAAAGAGGCTCTTACATCATTGCCTTCTCCCCTGTGCTGGCAGGGATGCCCCACCCTCGCCTGGGACTCCTCTCACCAACGACACTCTGTTCCTTCACTGCCTTCACAGAGTGGGTTCCCTCCCTCACCTGTTTATTAGTGGGGAACCACCCCTTCCAGGCAGGGCCCTCATCCAGGCCTTCCAACACATGCTGCAGAAGGACTAGACGTTTCCTGCAACCCCTGGGAATGGGCTGCCCACCCTGCGATGGGCTGGCTTTCTTAGTGACCTAAACTTAGGAGCACTCCCCTCCCTCGTCCACACAGACAAACACACGCGTGCACACACACACGTACACGCACACGCACCCTTCTACCCTGTCTCTCACCTTTGGCAAAATCTGGAGGATCTGGGCACCTCCTCAGGATGTCACTAGGTGGCACTATGTGGCAGTCCCTGGGCCTGGTAGGGTCAGGATGAGGTCAGGCTCCTCAACCGGTAGCTTGAGGATCGGCAGCCCGGGGCTTCCTGCTCTGGAGGCTGAAAGGTCTGTGACCCACATCTCCTCAGCGTGGGCTCCTGTGTACGCACTTGGGAAGATAACGTGGGTACAGAACACAGACACGGAAAGCCACTAGGAAGGGAACAGGCGAAAACCGTCAATGCACTATTCTGGTTAAGTCAGTGCACGTAACATGATCCACTCAATCACTTAGACAAGATGGTTAGCTTCCCACATAACCAGCCAGTTTATTATTACTTCTTAAAGTCGGTAAGAACAGTTGTTTGCCTGGAGCAGCTTGTCATTTTAATGAAACCGGTGGATTTCCCTATGATCAGACAGATCCCCAGTTACCTTCAGGGCCGAGATGTTCCCTGCTGTGTGTGTGTGTGTGGAATTTAGACTGGAATTTTTAATGAGGTAATCAGTCTTCGTCTCCCGTTCACCTGTCCCTTTGTCGTGGGGTACATATGTCCTGTGGGGTTCATAATGAGTGAAGTCATTAGTAACAAAATGTTCTACCTCGTGCCTCAGGAATCACTGCCGTGTAGACTGTGAGAGGGGAAGCAACACCTTCAATTAGCTGACAAAGCTATGTTGGGATGTGTTGTGATCCTCACCAGAGACAGATAAAGAACAAAAACGAGTACAACACGTTAGAAAGGCAGTAAGTTAATAAACACATTCCCATGGAAAAATACAAGCTACAGCTGGAGAAGGAGGGACGAGGGTTGATGGAAATGCAGGAAACGGAGAGTCAATGAAATCCTGCGAGGTGAAAAGCAGGAAGGCCAGGGAGCGATTTATGGGGTGAGGCTGGATGGGCGTGCAGTGCGATGTGACAGCTACATAAGCAAAGGCAAGTTCAGCCCTCGCACCACGACTGCCTCACCACCACTGCTGCACGTGGCTGGAGCACCTCGCCCTGCAGCCAGGGCATCTGGGGACCATCCCGCAGCCATTTATTGAACACCTATTGTGTGGCATGCACTTGGCACACAGTCCTGTTGTTCCTTCAAAAACTCTGCAGGGTCACATTCAGCAAGGAAACGAAGCTCAGAGAAGTTAAGCAGCTCACCCAGGATCACAGAGCTAGAAAGTGGCAAACTGGAAATCAATCCCACGCCAATGCAGTTCCAAAATCTCTTCTCTGTACTGTATAACTGGGTACCACTCAGTGAGTGAAGAGGCAAGGGACAGGGGACACCTCACTGTCACCCAGTGCTGGTAGGGGCACTGCAGTGACCTCTGGCTGTGGGGTAGTAGAAGATGCATAAGACTGGGAGACAGGTGATCTGCGTTCCAATCCCAGCCCTGCCTCTCAACAGCTGTGTGACTTTAAGAGTGTCACTTAACCTCTCTGTGCCTTAGTTCCTTCAGCTACAAAGTGGGGAGAATAATGTCATCCACACTAGGATGTGGTGAGCAGTAAGTGAGTGTCAGAGCAGGCTCTTGGTGAACCGTGTGGCACATGAAATACCTGGTACTCTTACGAGTCTTGTGAGCCAACCTGTAAATTGCTGGTATTTTAGCTGTTTTGCTTCCACTCATTCATCATGACCTCCTGCACTTGAAATATCTGTAATATTCAACCCCCCTCTGCAAGAAGATGATTGGAATATCAGGAATGAGTGGTTAGTCTGCAATGAAGGGCCAGGGCTGTGTCCAACTGGCTACAGCCTCCCCAGGATTCACAAAACCTTCTTTAAGCCTTTTGTCTCACAAGCAAGCTTCTGCAGTCTAGAAAATTTAGTTCTGAAGGGAAGAAGGGTGACAGGACTCATGGTTCTGGAACCCATCCCAAATGAGGACTGGTTGAAGGAAATGAAGATATACAAGGCCTGGATGAGAGGAACATGAGTGCCATCTTCAAATGTTTGGCCACATGGAGAGGAGGGGACTAATTTATTCTGAGTCTCTCCTGTGGGTGGAGCTAGAAGAGAGGAAGGACAGGGGTGGTACGTATGGTGGAAAGGGCACTGGGATGGTAGTGACTGGACCGCCTCCAGGCTTCAATGGCTTTGCTAGAAGAAAGAGCTCATTAGATTAGATGCTGTGTTTTCCAACAACAATTCTCTGACAGCTATCGGGTGCCCTGCAATTCACTTCAGTTCTTACGCCAACTACCCAGAGCTAGAGCAGCCCTCACACTGAAGGTGCTCAGTCCCACAAGACCGCCGCCACTTCAGACACCAGCCGCAAGTCCTTGGTCCCCAGGCTAGCCACACTTGGGTCCAACTTGGCTACAGATCTGAGGGTTCTCACAACCCCTCTTGAGGTTCAATAATTCACTGAAATGAATCACAGAACTCAGAAAGGAGCTATACTTATGATTAGCAATTTTATTAAAAAGGATACAACTCAGGAACAGCCAACTGGAAGAGATGCACAGAGCAAAGTGTAGAGGAGCAGAACCTCCATGCTCTCTTTGGGCGCACCACCCTCCTGGTGTTCGTTAATCCGGAAGCTCCCTGAGCCATGTTGTTTCAGGGTTTTCATAGGGGGTTTTACCGTGTAGGCATGGGTGATTAAATCATTGGCCACATGATTGGACTCAGTTTTAGAGGTCAGAGGATGAGGCTGAAAGTGCTAACCCTCTCATCATGTGGTTGGTTCCTCTGGTGACCAGCCCCCATTCTGTAGCTACCTAGTTCCCCCACCGCTATGAGTCATCTCATTAGCATAAACTTAGTGTTGAATAACAAAAATCACTCCTATCACTCAAGGAAATTCTGAGTTTTAGGAGCTCTGGGCCAGGAACCCGAGACAAAGGCCAAATATATTTTTATTATACCACGGGTGCTCTTCAACATCCCTCTGTCTCTAACATGCCATATTTAGTGGCTCTAAAACTGATTACATTCAACCCAATGTAAGAAAATACCTTCATAACTAGAGCTCTTCGGCAACTTAATGGGCTGCCTCCAAAGGTCTGAGCTACCTTGAGTAGGAAGTGATCCAGCTGAGGTTGGATGACCCCAGTTGAGAGTGCTGGGAAGAAAATCCCCATGTTGGGTGGTAGTTTGGACCAGATGCTCACTCATCATGATTGTCAGGACACAGTGGAATGTAATTGCCTTGCTTGCTTTCAGAATCGAGAGATGCTTCCATTTTGGATGAACAGCACTGGCAAGAGGGAAGGCTGGCAGCATGGATGGCATGGATATGACAATGAACTCATGGACATGAGGGGCGTCTTCCTGGCCTTTGGACCTGGTAGGCAAGAAATGACCAAATTCTCTTAGTCACCCATTCCCAAGGAAGCGTCTCCAGTAGGGGCTAATGGCGCTAGTAGAGGCTGGAGTGATTTCTTTATGGATCCTCTTTATGAGCAAAGCTGAGCAAACCCAGCTGGTCTCCATGAAACGTCTTTTGCTGGCTTGCTTTCAAATGCTTCTTTGGACTTGGCAAATGTGACCAAAAACTTTCCCTTGTAAATTTTAAATCTTGAGTGCAGTGAAGAAAATGTATTCCACATGCTGGTCATTCATTTTTTACTTAATTCATCAAAATGTTATTTCACAGCTATCTGATGTCCAGGAAAGCTTGTCAGACACCAGGTTGCTGACAGCTGTGAGTCTCAAGGTTCACGTGATCGCTTCACGGGGTCTGACTCTCCCATACTTCCTCCCTGTCTGGAGCACCCACCCCTGTGGGGGTCATTCAGGTTAGGGCCCAACCAGAAGCTAGGATATGCTCAGGGCAGGCCAGGAAATGACCTTGAGACTGACTTTGAGAATGAGCCAGAATGACTAGCGATGTCTTGGATGAGAGCAAATTCACTGACTTCCTTGACCAGATAAATTCCTAGGGCTGGAAGAAAGAGGAGATGGAGAAGGCCTCTTTGGTCATTTGCTGTAATTGATAGAGCACCGTAAATTCACATTTTGGAAAAGTTTGTCAAATACTCTGAAGATCATACTACTACTTGAACATCCAATTTTTAAAAGATAGGGTAAAGAGCATGCAACAGCCATCAGCTGTGAGTGGCCTGGCTCATGAGCTACTCCTCTTTCTTTCTGCTGTCCACCCTCCTTATAATAAGTTTACCCTGATCTCCATATTCAAATGCTTTTTTCTGGATGCTCATCAAAGTATTTCAGCCTGTGAAAGTCCAGGCTTTCCCTTCAAGTTGTAGCTTAGAGATCACCCCTAGAAGCCCTGCTCTTTTCCTCGATGTAACAAGACAAAGATATATGTCCACCCACCTCATTCCATCTGCCCTGGGTCACTCTACTTACCACAAAATAGGTGCTGAGAACTATGGGGTGTCAGATTCTGCATGCTCCATGGGTGCCTCTGGGAGCCTGAGTTTAGGGAACACATCAGTCCAAATACTTTCCCACGTGTGACCCAAGTTCCCACGCCCTGAAGTAAGCATCAGAACCAGTAGCAGCAAGCATTTATAGAGCACTAACTGGGTTCACAACATTGGCCTAAGAGAGTTTGGAGGATGCCAGAAGAGCGTGTTGCCATCAACCGATAATAGTTATCAGGTGCTCCCTGTTAGCCACGCCCCGGGTTAGATCTGCAGGGCTCAAAGATGAAACCAACCAGGGATGGAGCCTTGAGGTGTTTGTTGAGGTCAACTGCTGGATTAGGTTGGAGACGGTCCAGGGCCATGGCCTTTACAGGGGAGAACAGTAGACAGCAGGGCTTTCATTCAAAAGCATCGTCTCCTCCTTCCCCAGAAGAGAGAAATAAGATCATGAATGCAAAACAGTTGTCAGTTGAAGGAGTATGGAAGTTTATGAGCAAGAGTCTCGGGCATATTTGAAAGCAGAAGCGAATCTAGCCTCAAACCAACATTTTTAAACAAAGTACTCAAAGCTGCATTAGTTTAGAGTAAAATTCGGTGAGGAGATTTTGTCCGTTAACAAAGGCCTCCATCACATGCTCCTTTAAAACTAAAAGGCTAAGTCTTTTATAGACAGAAAGACGACCCCTGATGAAAATGGACTGGGCTAATTGCAAAAATTCCAGGCAGATACAGCCTTGAGAGTCTCCCGCAAACCATCACATTTCTGGCTCCAATTCTCATGAAAGATTGAACAGCTTTACACACTGACTGTTTACTCAGAAGGAAATTTAAGAGCGAGGCCTTTAATAGCTATCTAGCTGCACTTTGAGATAAAGGTGCGTCCTGCCTGATTAATTGTATGTACTTCTCGCTTGGGAAGGAAGCTGGGCATCGTCGCGGCTGTTCAGACACAGCTTTAGAAGTCAGTAAGTCTGGTCCAGCTAAGACAAAGGGAAATAATTCTGGAAGATAGCCTCCCTCTGGTTAATCCCAGTTTCTAATTTGAACAACCTAATCTTGCCCTGGAGAACGCCACATTCAAGATAAGACAGCAGGAGTGTGATTCATTGAGCTGCCTGCGAGCTAGCAAGCTTCACTGGGAAAGCAGCCCAAGGTGGCCAGGCACCGCGTGAACCTGAGAACCTTCTCTCTTTAGGAGAAATGGTTTTAATATCCAAAAGATTTAAGCCCATGGGAATAACTTGGATTCCCAATCCAGGTTCCAAATGCCATGTTGAGCTAGCAGAGGTTGGCTGGGTCCTCCCAAGTTGCATCAGGTATTGTTTTGCTATTCAGGAATTTTCTAGAAGCTCTCATTCCAGCCTGGATCATCTCTGCATTGGGCCCAGAGTCCCAGTCCTGCAGAATAGAAAGCGGTGAACCAGATGGAATGGGAAAGAAAACCCAATTCTCCTTCCTGCTTACGTGCACAGGATTGGATTTTGTACTTTCAACATAAAAAGCTCATCTTTTCTAGCATTTTTGTCAGTAGAGTTGATCTCAATTTTTCCTGCCAAGTGTTAAAGAAGTAGGTGTTTGAAAGACTGGGGAAGGATATCTTGGACTTACCATTGTCCACTACCCCACATACCCTCCCTCCCTCCCACACACGTGACAAAGACATGACCACCATGTGATGGGGCAGGATGATCCTCACATCCGGGTCCGTGGCATGTCACAGGAGGGAGAGGAGTTACCTCCATGTCGCTTAGACAACCTTTCCGTTGACTTCTCAGGCTGCAGCTGATTCTCCAAGGAAGTATAACCACCATCCTCATCTAATCGTAAAATTTGCCTTGATATTAAGAAGGACTGGCATTCCAGGGCAGCCCCTGCATTCTCCTCTCCAGGGAGGTTCTGGATTTTTTTTTAAACTAGTTATTACCCTGAGGGGGTGCTGACCCTTACCCTCCTTGCCCCAAAAGTAAAGTGAACCCTCCAACTAATTTACATGGTGAATATTTTCAATCCATAGTTTGCCCTTGCTGAGCATTTATTCTACATGTTTTTAAATAACAGCTACCATTTATTGGGTATGCCTGGAACTCTGGTACCATATCCATGCCCATTTCCTGAGGTTACCCAGCTAGTCAGTGGCTGCAGGCTGGTTGTAGAGCCCATGAGCCTCTTGTACTGAATTCAACTTTAATTCTCCAAAGCGAGCAAAACCCACCCCTTGGGAAGTTGCCCCAGATCTAACATACTCTGTGACAGAATTTTCCGTATATAACTTCCTCCTGGATTTATAATTTCAGGGTTAATACAAGAGCAGAATTTGGTGTGGGCACTTCTATGTTGCTGGTGGTGTGTGTTTGCTTTTTAAATAAAGTATATGTGATCATTTTAGCAAAGCAATTATAAAGATTATTTTCTAAGAGAGAAAACTTGGCTTTACAGCCCCCAAACTACCCATTTCCTATGACAGTCTTAGATGGACTAAAAGCACGTGCACAGGCCTGTATTGATAGATAACATCTCCTTCCTGAATTCAGCCTCATGCAGCTTTGGGTACTGTGTTGGAAACTCTGCTTTGGGGCCTAAAAGTGAAGCTGCTTACATATATTACTAAACTCTTACATTCACTCTTTAGACAGACAAGCCCTTTGCATTCAGCATCTTCTGCGCCCCCGTGGAGAAGGAGAAGGCGCATCTGGATTGAAATCCCTCCCTCAGCGCCCATACTCGCTGTGCTGTGAGCAGCCAGCCCACCCTTTATATCCTGTGTCCCCGCTGGAGTCTGGTGCAGCCTCTGTGGAGAAGCACAGTTCTCCTCTCCATCAGACGTCTCAGAACCTCCACCCGGCTCCCTAACTCCAAGACCAGTTCGCGTATTTTCCACACAGCTAACTTATTTTATCTGCCAGTGAAAGGCTCCCAGGGAATGTTCAGTTGATCTCCCAAACATATTTAGGAAACCATTGCTGTTAACTGTCAAATTAGCCAGCACCGAAGGAACCATACAGCTTCACACTCCATCAAGTCTGGGACCTCGATGTGGCAGGAAAATGGAGAAACATTCTTGAGTTGTGAGGTACCCTGGCTAACCAGTCTCTGCTAGATAGCTGTTCTGAAGATAAGCTATCTTTTAATTGGGTTTTGGGGACCACAGCTAGACAGTCAAACCTCCGTGACCATGCTTGTTCTCCAGTGCTCTGCAGAAATGAGCAGCACCAGGTGGCCCTTCTGCCCCTCCAGGGATGCTCTTTGTCACAAAGCAAGCACAGTTATGCACAAAAATAGTCTGTCTGCTGATTTGTCTTTCAAAGAAATTCATCTCTATAAGCCACAGAAAGCTACTCCCCTTCATAACCTGTAGCCTTCCAGATACTCTTCCACGTTCACAACCACTTGGCCACGCCCCATCGACAGAGCAATCTTCCAATCCCAAAGCTGCCTGGAGCCTGAGTGTAATTCTTCCATATCGTGACTCAGCCCCCCTCTGCCAGAGGAGCGACTGTGACAACTTGTTTGCCTGCCTTTCCCTTTCAGATTTCAAATCCAACTTCAGAGCTGCTCCAATCAGATCCGTGGACGTCTACAATGTCATGTGCAATGTGACAGGCATCACGCCCCTGCCCAACAACGGGTCCTGGTCCAGGGTGATGTGCATGCTGAGGGGCCAGGCCGGCTCGGCTCCGTCCGTCCTGCCGAGCGGCTGTGCGCTGGCCTTGGTCCTCCTCTTGCTGTTTGCATAGCTGCTCCTGCTGTTGTCCCAGAACATCGGGGATGTGTGCCGCCGTGGCGGAATGGTTTTCATTTGCGATATGAATAATAGCTTCATTAACACAATCAAGGCCATAAAAATTGTAAATATGTTATCTTGGATGATTCTATACATAAAAGTCCTATTTCTTAAAAAAAAAGAGAGACCCAAACTTTGTTTTTTCTGGAGGTAAGAAAAATTCTAGCTTTTCATTTGTTCAACTGTGTGTCATTTTCTCCTTTCTTTTCACGTAGTTACTCAGGTGACCTGTCCGAGCAGGGGCCTGCCCCTGCAGCAAACAGACTTTGAGCAGCTATTGCACAGTAGCCCTGGGCCCCTCTCTGTCCCGTCTTGCACAAAGCAGGCCCTTGTCTACACCCAGGAGCAACCGTCAGGGTCTATGGCCACAATCCTGTACTGCTCCTTCCATCCCAGAAAAAGGAGGTCCACATGAAAGCAATAGCTGCCCTCTGTTTCTGACCCAGCTCATGGAGTTTTTTCATTGTCTACAGAGTCCCAGAAGGGTGTATCTTAGCTTGGACCACCAATCAGTCAAAATCACTAAGGACTGGAGAACTCACAGGACAAGGTGAAAGACAGGAGTTCCCTCCCAAAGTCTCGAATGCACAAAAATTTCTCCCTTGCTTGAGGACCAGAAAAGCTTACAACAGATACAAGCTTCTCTGAGACTTATCACAGTGTATCACAGTATAAGCCTTGCACGTGGCAGGCCCTGCGTGTTGTGGATGGATGGATGGCTTGCGTGCCTGCCTGTCTATCTGTGTGGAGACTTCCTCAGAGACCGCCACTCTTTGGTCCCATACAGAGCAATACCTGACATATCGTTACAGACTGGGAGAGGGATGTCTTGCTAATGAGAGTGTAGACATACTTGCAGAAATCTCAGTTCATTGCTGGGAATGGTGATACATTAAGCATAAGTTTTATGCACCAGTGTCCTGGAGCAATGCTTATTTAACAATAACAGCCAAATGAATCCTTGAGACCCAAAATTCCAGGGAAAATGGTGAGAGGGAGGGGGACGGGGAATAGAGAGAACATGATGGAGCTGAATCCCAGTCACTAAACAACTAGTCATTTGATTAGGACACAGTTTGGTCAAAGCGCCACCTCAGAGACCTCTGTTCTTTAGAACCTCTGAGAAGAGCCATTGAGCCTGAGTTGAAATGTTTGTAGTTTAGTCATCTAAGTTTGCTGTAGGACATCTTGTAAAACAAGGGATAACTGGATTTTAAATGATGAGATGTATGGATATGGTATGTGTATATACCATATCACTGCATTGCATTAAAAATGAGTTTGCTCTCCATGAGGCACATCTGCAAATGAGAGTTTTTGTCAGGAAAAGACAGCACATCAGGTCTCCTCAGGACAATGAAGCCCTTATGCATTTACCTTGAACAATGAATATCAGCGCTCGTCCTGGCTCAAGAAGGCCGGGAGCAGTCTCTGTGCCTTCAGTCATGAGAGCAAAGGACCACTGCTTAAAAACATTGAATTTCTCTTCACAAAAGATGTCTCAGGATTTATGTAATGTGTTTTTAAAGTGCCAGCAAACCATCAAATCAATTGGGAAGAAGGCAAATCAGCCTTTGTTCTCTGGCTGAAAGCAAATTAGTGCCTTCAGAACACCGGCGGGGTCACTGAAACAGCCATCTATTGTTCAAAGGCTCCTTTCTCCTTGAAGGACAGGTTCTAATGAGTTCAGTGGAGCCCACCTTCCTCCCTTGTGAAGAAGGATCACTAAAAGATATCCAAGGGATTAAATTAAAGTGGGTCATCAAAATCAAGCAGGGTACAAACATACAAACATGTACACAGTCCTGCATCTGTCTTTCCTGTTCTGATCTACCATTTTTTCCCTCACATATCCTTAAAAAAATCTTCAAGTTACATAATAAAATTTCAGATATTTGTCTGACAAAGTATAGTTACTCAATAAATAATCTTGAATAGATGAACGAGAATAAGACACTTTTGGAATCATGAATATTAATAAATAACAAAGAAACTTCAGACATTGAATAGAGAAAAAAACTTTTTCCCTAAAATAATCCACATCAGATCTAATTTCGGTCACAGACGGTACAGTAGTCCCCCCTTATCCACGGATTCACTTTCTGTGGTTTTAGTTACCCACAGTCAACCAAGGTCCAAAAATATTAAATGGAAAATTCCAGAAATAAAAAATTCATAATGCATACATTTTAGTGGCTTAATTATTCGGCTAAAATTTTTTCTTTGATTTCTGTCTTAAAGTTACATTTTTTTCCCCAGGAAAATTCTACTTCCTCTAAATGTGTTTTGTTCCATTGGAGTAAAATCTGCTAGGAATATGTGTAGACACCTGTTCTCCTGGATTATTTTACTACTTTACTGCTAATTCCTGGAAGAAGATAATTGGATTGACCTGCAAATACTGAAGATAAATGAAAGGAATGATCCTTAAATTGGAGAGGAGATGAATGGCTACTTTCCCTGGCCATATGCCTAATCTCCAGAACTTAATTCAATTAGGTTCTGAAGCCTTAAGCATAAATTAGAACAGGCCCAGGGAATTCTTTCCAGTCTCAGAGAGTCCTGAATTATAAAGTCCCAACTCTCTTTACTTTTAAAGGGACCTTGGAAATCCACATCAGATCTGATTTCAGTCATAGGTAGTAGAGTAGTCCCCCCTTATCCACGTGGTTTCAGTTACCCACAGTCAACCATGGTCCCAAGATATTAAATGGAAAATTCCAGAAATAAACAATTCATAAGTTTTAAATTGTGCGCTGTTCTGAATAGTGTGATGAAAATTCCAGCCATCCTGCTCGGGATGTGAATCATCCCTTTGTCCAGTGGTTCCGCGCTGTATACCCTCCCCACCCGTTAGTCACTGAGTAGCCGTCTCAGTTATCAGATGACTGTCCCGGTATTGCAGTGCTTGTGTTCAAGTAACCCTTATTTTACTTAATAATGGCCCCAATGCACAAGAGTAGTGATGCTGGCGATTTAGATATGCCAAAGAGAAGCTGTAAAGTGCTTCCTTTAAGTGAAAAGGTGAATATTCTTGACTTAATAAGGAACAGAAAAAAAATCCTGTTTTGAGGTTGCTAAGACCTACGGTAAATTTTATTACGGTATATTGTTATAATTGTTCTGTTTTATTGTTAGTTGTTAATCTCTTACTGTGCCCAATTTATAAATTAAACTTTATCATAAGTATATATGTATGGGAAAAAACATAGTATATATAGGGTTCAATACTATCTGTGGTTTCAGACATCCACTGGGGATCTTGGACTGTATCCCCCACAGACAAGGGAGACTACTGAAATTTGCAAACTTTCTAAGATTATCAACATCATCTGGCGTGCTTCAAGAGATGCGCGTTCAGAGGATCTGGGGTGGGGCCTCAGACAACACTTAAGTCACACTGATCTAAGGTTAGGTTTGCTCTAAGGAGAGATGGGTTCTGATTTGACCTGGGAGACCTGTGTCTCCTGATAGCAATTTCATAATCTGCCAGTTTCTCCAGAGCCATTAGGGTGGCATGAGCTCCGATCCAAGCTGGGTCAAGCATCTAGCCCTCTTTAAACCAAAGCAGATCTGTAAGCTCCAGTGATGGAGAGAAGAATCCAAACAGGCCAACTTGGCTTCTCCACACCCCACTCCTTCTGGGTCTGAGGTTCTCAACAGTGCTATCAGGCAAACTCATTGTTCAAGACACACAGCTATTTTATGAATTTTCTAAGAAAGTATTTTGCCTTTCTGTAAATATCAAGAGACTTCCAAATGTGAATGTGTGTTTAATCTTTTTAAGTAATTTGTGATAGACCAAAGTCAGCTGTTGTAAATCACTTGCTAGAAGGAAGGGAGCTGGTAGCCTTGGCAGACTGGTTATAAAACATTTGAAACTTGGTCTCAGGTATATGCTATGAAAAATATACTCAAATGTTGCTTTGAAATCATAAAATAGCACCTAGTGCTATGCTCAAATGTTTAATAATGTCCCATCAATATGAGTTGAATGAAAAAAACAATAAATATCATTACGGAGTCTTGCTTACACTCAGATAGCCTCTCTTTATCTGTAGTTCCTCAAATTAAACAAACTTTTCACTGCTGTCCTTTCTTATCACTCGACTAATGATATAATTATATTCAATTTCATGGTATTCTCTCCCAGGCTTATAAATTTGACGGAAGGAAAAAAGGAAGGAACGAAGGAAGGAAGGAAGGAAAGAAGGCAGGACGGAAGGAAGGGGATTAGATTTTAAATATGCTAAGCATATTTGCTTTTAAAAAATATAACAGCTCTATGAGGACTTAATGCACATACCACACAACTCCTCAATTTAAAGTGTACTTACAGTTCAATGGCTTTAGTATATTCACAGAGTTGTGCAAGCATCACCACAATCCATTTTAGAACATTTTTATCACCCCAAAAAGAAACTCCATCCCCATTAGTACATGAGCAATCACTCCCGTTTCCTCCCTCCACCACCCCCCCGGCAACCACTAAACTACATTCTGTCTCTACAGAGTTGCCTATTCGGGGTATTTCATACAAGTGGAATAACATAATATGTTGTCTTTTGTGGCTGGCTTCTTCCACTCAGCATAATGTTTTCAAGGTTTTAGCATGAATCAGTACTTCATTCTTTTTATTTCCAAATAATATTCCCTTGTATGGATATACTACATTTTATTTATCCGTTTGTTAGTTGATGGACATTTGTTTTTTCCCACTTTTTGAATATTATGACTAATGCTACTCTGAACACTCATGTACCGGTTTTGGTGGACATATGTTTTCATTTCTCTTGGAAACACACCTGGAGTGGAATTGCTGGGTCATATGGTAATTCTGTTAAACCTTTGAGAAACTACCAGACTGTTTTCCAAAGTGGCTGTATCATTTTGCACTCCCACCAGCAGCATATGAGCGTTCCAGTTTCTCCACATCCTCGCTAACACATGTTATTATCTGTCCTTTTTTATTGTAGCCATTCTAGTGGATGTGATGTGATATCTCATTGTGGTTTTCATATGCATTTCTTTAATGACGAATGATGTTGAGCATCTTTTCATGTGCCTGTTGGCCATATGTCTGTCTTTGTGGAGACATGTCTGTTCAAATGCTCTGCCTAT